GTGGTGATGAGGGTGGTGGTGTGGTGGTGGTGGTGATGGTGGTGGTGAAGGTGATGGTGGTGGTGAAGGTGGTGGTGGTGATGGTGGTGGTGGTGGTGGTGATGGTGGTGGTGTGGTGATGATGGTGGTGGTGTGGTGGTGGTGGTGATGGTGGTGGTGAAGGTGGTGGTGGTGATGGTGGTGGTGGTGGTGATGAGGGTGGTGGTGTGGTGGTGGTGGTGATGGTGGTGGTGAAGGTGGTGGTGATGGTGGTGGTGATGGTGGTGGTGGTGGTGAAGGTGGTGGTGATGCCAGTTGTGCAAGTGATGATCCTGCTGCTGGTAGCAGCCGATTGAGAACGTTGAGGCAACATCAGACAAGATGTCGATCCTATCTCTCTCTCACACACACACACTACGACTAGACTACGACTAGACTACGACTAGACTACGACTAGACTACGACTAGACTGCGACTAGACTACGACTAGACTACGACTAGAGACACTACGGGAATATCTAGACAAGGATAAGACTAAACTGGAAAAGGTTCAAAGGTTTGCCACCAGACTAGTACCCGGGCTGAGAGGTATGAGCTACGAGGAGAGACTACTGGAATTAAACCTCACTTCGCTGGAAGACAGAAGAGTTAGGGGGGACATGATCACTACATTCAAGATTCTTAAGGGAATCGACAAGGTAGATAAAGACAGGCTATCTAACACAAGAGGAACACGCACTAGGGGACACAGGTGGAAACTGAGTGCCCAAATGAGCCACAGAGATATTAGAAAGAACTTTTTAGTGTCAGAGTGGTTGACAAATGGAATGCATTAGGCAGTGATGTGGTGGAGGCTGACTCCATACACAGTTTCAAGTGTAGATATGATAGAGCCCAATAGGCTCAGGAATCTGTACACCAGTTGACTGACGGTTAAGAGGCGGGACCAAAGAGCCAGAGCTCAACCCCCGCAAGCACAACTAGGTGAGTACACACACACACACACACACACACACACACAGTTGAGTTGTGCCAGTTGATTGACAGTTGAGAGGCGGGACCAAAGAGCCAAAGCTCAACCCCCGCAAGCACAATTAGGTGAGGTGAGTACACACACACACACACACACACACACACACACACACACACACACACACACACACACACCAGCAGATAAAAGAGGACAAACAGCCACAGTAAAGGCCGCCAGCCTCACCAAACACCGTGCACAGTACCAGCCTAAACAGCTTCCTTTGATCCACACACTCGCCAGAGCTCTATCCATCCCAGCTGGGACAAAGCCCAACTGACAAGACCTTGCATGACTCTACAACCATCACCCCCCCCCCCCCCAAAGAGCAATATACGAACTCCACAGAGCTGCAGTCAATTCCACAGAGCTGCAGTCAATTCCACAGAGCTGCAGTCAACTCCACAGAGCTGCAGTCAACTCCACAGAGCTGCAGTCAACTCCACAGAGCTGCAGTCAACTCCACAGAGCTGCAGTCAACTCCACAGAGCTGCAGTCAACTCCACAGAGCTGCAGTCAACTCCACAGAGCTGCAGTCAACTCCACAGAGCTGCAGTCAACTCCACAGAGCTGCAGTCAACTCCACAGAGCTGCAGTCAACTCCACAGAGCTGCAGTCAACTCCACAGAGCTGCAGTCAACTCCACAGAGCTGCAGTCAACTCCACAGAGCTGCAGTCAACTCCACAGAGCTGCAGTCAACTCCACAGAGCTGCAGTCAACTCCACAGAGCTGCAGTCAACTCCACAGAGCTGCAGTCAACTCCACAGAGCTGCAGTCAATTCCACAGAGCTGCAGTCAATTCCACAGAGCTGCAGTCAATTCCGCAGAGCTGCAGTCAACTCCACAGAGCTGCAGTCAACTCCACAGAGCTGCAGTCAACTCCACAGAGCTGCAGTCAAGACCACAGAGCTGCAGTCAATTCCACAGAGCTGCAGTCAACTCCACAGTCATACAGGCGGGACCAAGGAGCTGAAGCTCAACCCCCGCAAGCACAACTAGGCGAGTACAGGAGCTACGTAAAAAGTATAGAGACTATAACAAGTGTTCGCAATAACCGAACACTTCCCATATTTACACAACAACCGAACACTTCCCATCAATATATTCATGTAAGTTAGTTTTCCCAGATCCGTGTTCGTATAACTTAACAGGAAAAACCCCAAAGAAATTCGCTTGGCCGCAAGTTTTCTCCAAATTGCCACTCTGCATTAAGGCAATCGAACACTACTCGTTTAACCGGATAAACCGTCCGGATACGGAGGTGCGAAGCGGACGTCACCTGGCGGGAGTATCCGGCCCTGGCGCGCACGAGAGCGCCTGCGGCGGGGGCAAGGAATACCTACTTGTCTTGGCACTTTTAATCAACACTTGGAGCCGTAGGTAAAGTGAATAGGCAAATATTTACCCTGACGCCTTGCCTAATGGATTGGTGGGAATTCTGGAAGGTTATACTGTGCTTGAGAACGGGGTATGAACAAGCCTCCTGAGCAATCACTTCGCCAGGCTTCAACCAATGAGGATCGAGTGGCTTCCACAAGGACCAATGGCAAGCCAGTATGCATGTACCACAGCCAATCATCTTGAAAAGTTTTGTTGACATTCCGTACATGCTATCACCTCCAGACAGATCTTAAGTGGGGGATAAACCTTTTCTATGATGTTCAATGTATACAGGAAAATAGATCGTTTGGTGGGCAACAGTACCCGATTAACGACTGAACTACGCCAAGAGGAACTACGTGTACACACACACACACACACCTGACGAGTCAGAAACATATAGGTAGTTTTCTTTCACCTGACGCCTTTGTTTACTTAACTGAGGTATTGGAAGTTAGTCTCCTATTGTGACCTGCATCCTGTGTGTACACACACACACACACACACACACACACACACACACACACACACACACACACACACACACACACACACACACATTTTTTGTTTTTTTTTTCACACTCATTTCACACACGCACGAGGATTTTTCACAACCTACAAAATCCTAAGAAGAATCGACCGGGTAAACAAGGATAAACTATTCAACACTGGCGGGACGCGAACAAGGGGACACAGGTGGAAACTGAGTACCCAAATGAGCCACAGAGACGTTAGAAGGAACTTTTTCAGTGTCAGAGTAGTTAACAGGTGGAATGCATTAGGCAGTGATGTGGTGGAGGCTGACTCCATACACAGTTTCACATGTACATATGATAGAGCCCAGTAGGCTCAGGAATCTGTATACCAGTTGATTCAGGTTATCTTGAGGTTATCTTGAGATGATTTCGGGGCTTTAGCGTCCCTGCGGCCTGGTCCTCGACCAGGCCTCCACCCCCAGGAAGCAGCCCGTGACAGCTGACTAACACCCAGGTACTTATTTACTGCTAGGTAACAGGGGCATAGGGTGAAAGAAACTCTACCATTGTTTCTCGCCGGCGCCCGGGATCAAACCCGGAACCACAGGATCACAGTCCAGCGTGGTGTCCGCTCGGCCGCTCGGCCGACCGGCTCCCTGACGGTTGAGAGGCGGGACCAAAGAGCCAGAGCTCAACCATCCCGCACTCCCGTCCCCTCGTCCTCCCCATCATTCCCCACTCCCTCGTCCGATGCATTCCCAAATTATTTGATGTTCCCATCAGAAAATTGGGAACATCAAAAGATCTGATGTTCACATCACCGAAAAATAAAAAGGACAGTTAAAAACGAAATGAAAAACAATGAAAAAATACAAAATATACTATACTCACGAAATGAACGGTATGGTAAACATACCAGCTCAATTTGAATGCAATGTCACACAAAATAATTAAATCAAAATGAAAATAAAACGAAATCTATGAAAATTCAATTTATCAATGCAATCGGAAACATTGAAATGGAATCGTAACATATTTAGTATAGCGTGTGTTGCTCTTACGTGCAACAGACGGCACTGTTTAAAAAAAAGGCATGTTTTTACCTGTCACAGGTGTGGTGGCATCTATATAGTAGGTATATAAAAACTCGCGTGTATTCGAATGGAACGTTGTGTCAAAATTTCAAAGCAATCAATGAAGAACTTTCAGAGATTGGCGATTTTGAACAAACGAACATTAACATTTGTATTTATATTGAGAGTATACATACCCTGCAGCACTACACCAGGGTATGTAAGGACACACTCCCACCGCAACTAAAGTTAATCTTATTCAAATATATGACTTAGTAGTGAAGGAAGCGTGTCTTAGGCAGTGAAGGCTCAACACAGCTTACTTCTCAAGGATTTATACGCTATACTGGGGGGGGGGGGTTTGAGAGTGGGGGAGGGGGGGTGAGAGTGGGGGAGGGGGGGGGGAGCGGTGAGAGTGGGGGCGGGTGAGAGTGGGGGGGGGTGGGGTGAGAGTGGGGGGGGGAGAGTGGGGGGAGGAGAGTGGGGGGATGAGAGAGGGGGGGAGGAGAGTGGGGGGAGGGAGAGTGGGGGGATGAGAGTGGGGGGGGTGAGAGTGGAGGGGGGGGGAGTGAGAGGTGGGGGAGTGAGAGTGGGGGAGGGGAGTGAGAGTGGGGGGGGTGAGAGTGGGGGGGGGGGTTGAGAGTGGGGGGGTGAGAGGGGGGGTTGAGAGTGGGGGGGTGAGAGTGGGGGGAGTTGAGAGGGTGGGGGGGGTGAGAGTGGGGGGGGGGTGAGAGTGGGGGGGGTGAGAGTGGGGGGGGTTGAGAGTGGGGGGGTTGAGAGTTGGGGGGTGAGAGTGGGGGGTGAGAGTGGGGGGTGAGAGTGGGGGGGGGGGGTGAGTGGGGGGGGGGTGAGAGTGGGGGGGTAAGAGTGGGGACGAGGGGGAGAGAGTGAGAGTGGGGGGCGGGGCGAGAGGGCATACTAGAGCACCCAGAAACAGTGTGAGGGAAGGGGGGAGAGGTGTTCAGACCAGCTCTGAAGAGAACAGGAGAGAGAACACCGAGAACACCCCTCAGGGAGGCCAACACAGCTCAGGGACAAGCAGCAGGACAGTGTTCAACACAATGTGTGTGACGGCGCACTTTATAGTTGAGAACAATACTGGCAGGTGGAGCAGAACAGCACGGGACGCAGAACAGCACGGGACGAAGAACAGCACGGGACGCAGGACAGCACGGGACGCAGAACAGCACGGGACGCAGAACAACACGGGACGCAGAACAGCACGAGACGCAGAACAGCACGGGACGCAGAACAGCACGAGACGCAGAACAGCACGGGACGCAGAACAGCACGGGACGCAGAACAGCACGGGACGCAGAACAGCACGGGACGCAGGACAGCACGGGACGCAGGACAGCACGGGACGCAGGACAGCACGGGACGCAGAACAGCACGGGACGCAGAACAACACGGGACGCAGAACAGCACGGGACGCAGAACAGCACGGGACGAAGAACAGCACGGGACGCAGGACAGCACGGGACGCAGAACAGCACGGGACGCAGAACAACACGGGACGCAGAAACAGCACGAGACGCAGAACAGCACGGGACGCAGAACAGCACGAGACGCAGAACAGCACGGGACGCAGAACAGCACGGGACGCAGAACAGCACGGGACGCAGGACAGCACGGGACGCAGGACAGCACGGGACGCAGGACAGCACGGGACGCAGAACAGCACGGGACGCAGTACAGCACGGGACGCAGGACAGCACGGGACGCAGAACAGCACGGGACGCAGGACAGCACGGGACGCAGAACAGCACGGGACGCAGGACAGCACGGGACGCAGAACACGGGCGCAGAACACGGGACGCAGAACAGCACGGGACGCAGAACAGCACGGGACGCAGAAACAGCACGGGACGCAGAACAGCACGGGACGCAGAACAGCACGAGACGCAGAACAGCACGGGACGCAGAACAGCACGGGACGCAGAACAGCACGGGACGCAGGACAGCACGGGACGCAGAACAGCACGGGACGCAGAACAGCACGGGACGCAGAACAGCACGGGACGCAGAACAGCACGGGACGCAGGACAGCACGGGACGCAGAACAGCACGGGACGCAGAACAGCACGGGACGCAGAACAGCACGGGACGCAGAACAGCACGGGACGCAGAACAGCACGGGACGCAGAACAGCACGTAACGCAGGACAGCACGGGACGCAGAACAGCACGGGACGCAGAACAGCACGGGACGCAGAACAGCACGGGACGCAGAACAGCACGGGACGCAGAACAGCACGTAACGCAGGACAGCACGGGACGCAGAACAGCACGGGACGCAGAACAGCACGGGACGCAGAACAGCACGGGACGCAGACAGAACAGCACGGGACGCAG